TTACTTTCACAGTAGGCCTTAACAGAGTCATTAACTTTTGTGATCTTATCAGTTGAAGAGGGGTCTAAGTCAGTACGCTGTAAGATCGACGATATAGCGATTTCGGTGCTAGGGGATTCTCTTTTGACATCATCGATAATTTTTGTTAACTTTTTCTTTATAGTCTTCGGATTGTTAGTTGAGCTGATGTTGTTGGTCCCGGCATGGATGAGAATACGCTTGGGCTTTTTGCGTATAGCCGTCACTAGCCGTCACTAGCCATCACTAGCCATCACTAGACATCACTAACCATCACTAAGCATAACTAGACATCACTAGCCGTCACTAGCCATCACTGACCATCACTAGACATCACTAGACATCACTAACCACCACCAACCATCACTAAACATCACTAACCATCACTAACCATAACTAGACATCACCAGCCGTCACTAGCCATCACTAGCCGTCACTAACCATCACTAGACATCATTAACCGTCACTGGACATCACTGACCATCACTAGACACCACTTATCATTACCAACCATCACTAGACATCACTAGCCATCACTAGCCATCACTAGACATCACTAGACATCACTAACCATCACTAAGCATAACTAGACATCACTAGCCGTCACTAGCCATCACTAGCCATCACTAGCCGTCACTAACCATCACCAAACATCACTAACCATCACTAGACATCACTATCCATCACTAGACATCACTATCCATCACTAACCATCACTAGCCATCGCTGACCATAACTGACCATCACTAGACATCACTAACCATAACTGACCATCACTAGACATCACTTACCATCACTGACCATCACTAGACATCATTAACCGTCACTGGACATCACTAACCAATACCAACCATCACTGACCACTACTAGACATCACTAACCATCACTAGACATCACTAGCCGTCACTAGACATCACTAGACATCATTAACCATCACAAGCCCTCACTGAACATCACTGTGTATGTTTTAAAAATAATCGGAATTTTATTAAACAAATTAAGCAAGTAACTACAGGAAAAGTTAATATTTAGTTGAAATTTAGATATGCAACAGAAACTAGAATATATTTYTGTCATTTCCATCCATTTGTGAAACAATTAGTACTAGTCAGTGTTTAATAGCAACTATTAGRGTGTAGTAGGCTACCAAAAGGCAAAATCAAAACCGTGTTTTCCTTAWAAGTTTATTGCATATGGGAGCTAATAGGGAGTAAATAGTATTTAATAGTACAATTCGACTATTTCACAGACGAATGAAAAGGACTATTACAACTATTGAAACATGGGAACTATCCAGTATAATTGAAAATATTTACAGAATGCCCGAAACGTTCAATAAAGAGTGGAAACCCAGTGTTACAAGTAGTGCGGCTTTGTCTTTGATTTATTCTATTTATATGAAGAAATAGAATATATCTGTCATTATTTTATGAAATCGGTGTAT